AGACCTACCTGATAGCAAATGAGTGTCAGGATTGTGTGACTAAAGAGAGACTTCTGGGTATTCTGGTGCCCACCTAAATCCTTCTGGATTTGATAAATCCAGTTAGAGTCAGAGTTCATACTACACACCAATAAAATCCATGGAATTGCCCTTCTCCAATTCTCTAATGTGGACAGACAAAAGCCAGGTATAAATCAGCCTAAAACATGGCAATTTCTGCCAAAATCCCAGTTAATCAGGAACATGGTGTGAATGCCCCATTTCAGTGTTCTCAGGGGGTTCATAGCCAGATTGTTTTGAGGTGGGCAGAGGAGTGAACTCTGAATTGAGGTGATTTTGCAGAAGTTACTCTGTCAAGAGCCTCAATCCTACAAGACAGAAGGTCTTAGGTTAATGCTTTGATGGTTTTGGAGGGTAACAAAGGGTGAACTTGAAGTTTTTCAGATGAGGACAGTCCTGGCCTGTTTGGACTTTGTAGGTCAAAACTCTTTGTTCTAGTGAAGCTGCTGCTCAGTGATGGGTTTAAATACAGGTTTAATGATGGTGAAAGGATCTAGTGAGGAGACAGTGCTGGTGTCAGTGGGGTGATAGTGGTGTTTACTGGTTTTCCTCACTGTTTCATCATTTCTTTAAAACAGGAAGGATGAAAGAACCTCAGCTTCTGTGGCCCATTTCTCTCAGGTCTCTGCTGCAAGAGCCAGCAAGGAGCCCTTGGCTTGTTTTCTGTGCTTCAAACTCCTTCCAACCTCTACCTCACCTTCTCAGTAACATTTAAGCAGAAGCTCTTAATTTATTCAGTCCTGGGTTTGCCCATCCCCAGATCTGAGCTCAGCTGACTGTGAGGGGCTGGTGCTTTCAAATAATATGAGTTCACTGGTCTGAAGTTTCTCTGGGAATGAAAAATCTGTTTGGTAAGGAAACACTGACTTCAGAAAGCCTATCAGCCTGCACAACTCTGCAAGGCAGGACTGCACAATGTCTAATTATTTGGAACTGTTCTCTAGAGGATTTGGCTTGCAGAAAATTTGATCTGCTGTTTATTAAAGGTTTCTTTCCCTTTTCTCTCCTTTGCAGTTTTTATCTGTAGTTTCATGGTGGCAGCGCCCATCTTTGGTTACCTTGGTGACCGGTTCAACAGAAAGATCATTCTCAGCTGTGGCATCTTCTTTTGGTCAGCTGTCACCTTTTCAAGCTCCTTCATCACTGAGCAGGTAAGATCTTTGCAAAGACACTTTGCAGGGTGTCCTGCAAAGATGGACAATATATTCCTAAACAACTCCCCATGCCAGTGTGCTCAAGGGGAATTTATCCCTCCCGTGTGCATTTAACATTTAGCATGTTGTATTATCTGACCTTTTGTGGGAGAAGTGTGCTCTGTGTGACTGTGTTTGCTTTACTGTGAAAGCTGTCACCCTTTGATCGTGCATATTCATAAAAAGTACCAGATGAAGCATATCTAAGCAAGATTTTCTGTTGACATAAGGGCTTTGTTTTGAGGGGGATCCTAAAGAAGCTTTCAAAGGCTTTAGAAAAGCCTTGGGAAAATGAATCCATGGCTACACAGTGATTCTCTTGTCTTGTGATATGTAACTGAAGCCATTGGATTTTGTTGGGAAGTCTGCTCGTGGTATGTGGAGTAACAAAATGCATCCAGCAGTGGTTTTACAGATGCACTTTGGTTTGTGTCCACCAAGGCAGAGAAAGTGGATGGTAACACAGAGATCAGACACAGTTTCAGCTCCTTTGACACTTGTCAGTGGATTTGTCTGGGGAAACTGGTGATGGAGTTGTCAGGCTCACTTAATATTGTCAAGCTCTGCATCCCTCTCCTGCTCCCAGGACAGCTGCAGTGCCCCATTCTGAGAACTCCTCACTGCATTAATTTTCTTGTCAGAGGCATTTGGCGGAATCAATGACCTGGCAGTTTCTGTGGGGAAATAACCTCTCGTTTAAATCACATTATCGCAGAGATTTAATTGGTGCAAGGGACAACTTTCCTGGAGAGACAAATCACAGCTCCTGGCATCCCCAGACTGATTTCCCCAAGGGAGGCAGGGGCATTCCTCATCCTTTCTGTCCAGCTGCCTTCCAGAGATTGCAGCAGTGTGGTCACACCTAAAGAATGACAGCCAGGGACTAAACCTCTCCACCCTTCTCCATCCTGCCCACCCACATGCTCTTCAGTTTTTATAAAAAGAGAGTTTCCACTTAAAGCAGGCAGTGGCACTTCTGTCGGTCTGGCTTTCACCAGGATTGGTTGTTGCTGCATTTCTAAAGCAAAATGCATGTGGCCAAATGTGGAAACCTTTAACTCAGTAAATTGTTCTGGACTGCTCTTGGCCAGGAAGCACCTTTTCCAGAGAAAGAATGTCTCTCATCTAAAATAAAGAAGGATTTTTTTTTTGTTTGCTCTGTAATTTTTTTTCTTTAAAAGTTTCTCATAACATTCTGCAAAAGCAGCTTTGATCAGAGCCCAAAGAGAGAAGCATTTTAGAGAGAACCAATGACCTTCTTATAAACACTTCTTGTGTTATGGACATGTATTTATGCTTAGGTTCTCACTGATCTCCCTGCAGGCAACTGGGTCCCACAGCTGGAAGCAGGGGAGCACTGGAACTGGACTGATGTTTTCAGAGTTGAATTTCAGTTTGAGGATTTGGGGCTTATTAGCTGAAGTAGTTCAGGAATTAATATGTGTGGTTATTTGTACACATGGGCTCAGAGTGGCAGTAGCATATGTTTGGAATCCAAAACCCAATATTTTGGAAGTCATAAGAGAGACGAGATCAAAATAGCCAGACCCATGTTGAGACATCCTGGATATGCATCAGGATTAACTCTGGGCTCCAAACACTATCTTTACAAAACCCACCCTAATACTTAGAAAAATCCCCTGTCCTGATTTTCCTGTGATCCTCAACTCCACCAGAACACTTAGCAATTAATGCAGAATTCTCATGCCCACCTCCTGTTACTGACTGCAGGAGGTAATGGAAGATGCTGCAGCTGCTCTAAGGATGTTCTCTACCCAGGGGCTGCAGCAGCTGAGCAAGCTCCTAAGAATAATCCATCTTGCCATGTTATCCCTCCCACTTTGGTGTCCATGTTGGAGGCCTGAGCTCTAATTGGGAAGACATGCCACATTGAACAAGGTGAATTCCTGACATGCTAAAAAGAGAAGAGCTTTTTCTTTATTTCATCTTTGTTGTCGAGGATTCATTTGAGGAGTAAAATCTTGCCTTTTCTCTCAACGTTTTTTTTTGCTTGTAAGACAGTACATGTATTTGTTGGGAAGGAGGACAGGGAGCTGAAATACCAAAACTCTGCTGGTACAAATAAAAGCAGTAGTAGAACTACTGCGAGTAGAGAAGTTCTCACATCCAAGTTGACATGAGAACACAGGGCTGGAAGGAGCAAGCTGACACAGGCTGAGCCCATTAGAGAACTCCTTTATGTGGCAGCACCAAAAATCCTGAATTAGGTGAGAAACAGCAACCATTCAGGAGGAATAGCAGACTGTCTTCAGGGATTGCCTTTCTTTAAATTCTGACAGTGTCTAGTGCCTCATGCACCCTGTCACTGTGTAATGGAATAGAATGCACAGCCACACAGCTGAAATTTGGAGTGCAAATGGAAAGAGACAGCTTAGCAAAGGCCAAAAGCAGCTACAGAGCTGGTGAGCTCTGAAGGCACCCAGTTTGTGAAGCTCTTTGGTCGTGTGTCAGTTCCTGGCTAAAATTTGAACATCTAAAGGAAGCCATGAAAAAAAAAACAATGCTGTTTGAATCAATGACTAGATTAATGTACAAACAAATTTACAGAAAGAGACCTGTTCATTTTGATCTGTCCTACTGTCTTCCCACAACTGCATGTGCTGGGCAGATGTCCTGAGCTCTGGGATGTCCCTGGGGTATCCCTGAAGTCATCTGTGCCTCTCCAATTCCTTGTGTCCCCCAGCCCTTCACTGGGGGCTGAGGAGCAGGAAGGACCTTGACTCTCTGTAAGCTCTTGCTCAGCAGTAATGAAAACATCCCTGTGTTATCAGCTCTGTTCTCAGCACAAATCTAAAACATGGTCCCCTAGCAGCTACTGAGAAGAAAATTAACTGTGTCCCATCCAACACCAGCACAAAAGGATTGGAGAACAGTAAACAGCTCATCTAAGATTCTGTCTAAATGCTATTTTGTTCAGCTTGGGTTAAAAAAAGTGACTGAAAATCGGCAGATAAATCAGGAATTGGATGCATGTGCCATGCAGACAGTTGCTAGAGAGCTCTGCCTGTTTTTAATATCATTAGTTATTTATTATCAAGTATCTCTGGTTCCTAATATGGAATAATGACTGCCAAATAAATGAAGAATTAATCTCTTATCTGCTGGTAGCTACTAAAAGGTAGATAATAGGCTCTCACAACAAAAAAGGAAATCAGGCCAAAGTAGGGGGGTAGTTCCAATGTAGGGATAGAAAACAGCAATGCATGAATTCCACACACAGCAAAATAGAAACAGGAGAACTCATGCTTCAAGGTTTGGTTACTGTTCGTGAGACCTTAAATTAATTTTGAAACAAATCATAGTAAGAAACTGAATAAATATTATATCACAGAGTGATTCCACAAATACACCTGTTTCCATGGATAAAAATAGCTAATGATAAATTTAACTAAAGAAAATCATCAGAAGTAGTAAGACTGAGATAATATTGATAAGCTCACTTTTTAATGTGGTTGATAATTTATGTCAGTACAGAGTTTCTCTATAGAAAGATAAGACATGAGATTCTCTGCTTTGGTATTTGCACATTTCTGCTATATAACACTGTTTAGCACTTCCTACAGTACAAGATCCATTAAGAAATCATTAACAAACTTGCTCAATAATCTGAAATTAGCTAAAGTTGGTACATATTTAGACATATCTCTAGATTAATTTCATTTATAGAAGCTTCAATAAATAATATCTGTATCTTAATTTTAATTTTCTAAGTACAAACACCTGCTTGGAGATTTTTTCCCTTTAAGCCTGACTTTAAATCAGGTCTGCACCTACCAGCACACCTTTTGGCACTTTCACTTGCAAAACCCTTTCTTGTGTTGTTTTTGCCTTCTGCCAAGCATTTGGGGAAAACACTTGCTGGTTCATGAACTGTAATAAATCAACAAAAAATCAGTAGGCTTCTGTGTGGTATAGAGTCATATCCCAAAGTAATGAACCAAGTGCCCAATCTTCATGGAGTTTCTTTACCCAGATGTGTTTCCAACCACACAAAAAAACCTAAATATACATTTTTCTTCCTGTATATCAATATGAAATCTGATTTAATAAGTAACCAGATTCTTTCCCTAGGCAGCATTTTCATGAGCACAGTGCCTGATTGCACGTGGTGGCTGATCACCTCGAGGTGCTTTATATTCCAAGATGGCCTTGCAAAGGGTCTGTCATCCCAGTTGCACCATTTCTCTCTTTCTGAATATGAAGCAACCTGGTTATGAGGAGTGATCATGCCACGTGCTGAGAGTTTGTTTCTGGCTGCTTGGATCTCTGTCAGTCATGGTCAGTGTTCTCAGCTGGGTGTTTGAGCAGCAGGTTGTTTTAGATGAACCCTGGGCTTTGGTGCTGGGCTTCCTGCCCCTCTCAGCACAACCCTCTGGGACATCAGGACCCCTCTCCCTCCACCACTATCTTAAAGCTTGTAAACATCAAGGTAAATATCTTGAATAAGTAGTATTTCTGTGTAAAAAAGGTGTGCTGGCTTACAAATGAGCAAAGCTTCTGCTCCACTGGGCTGGGAGACCAAGGGTACCTAATAATGCCAGAGCAGGCTGTGGTGATGTGGGTTGGCTGGGAAACACCAGAGCTGCACATGCTAGAAAGTTGGGAAATGGAAAAGCAAAGAATTGACAAGGTAAACCAGAAATATGCTTTTGAATTCTCCAGTTCTTGGTAAATATTCCTGTTTAGATTTTGATATACCTAACATAATAAAACCTTTTTGCTCCCACTGCAATTTACCTCTGGATAGGTATTTCTCTTAGTGTTGTTTTCTTTTTCCTTTTATTTTGATTTATCTCTGGAAGAGGAGGCAAATTGTCCATGGTGTAGTTCCAGTTAGTCTGCAGTGCTTGCTCAAGTCCTGTCTTTCAGACTTGCCAAATGTATTTTTATTTCTAAATCTTGTCTTTCAAGGAGTTTCTAAAAGAGAAGCAACAAAT